ATTTCTACGGAACAGGTCGCCACATGTTCCAACAGCCAACCTGGAGGGCCAGAAGACTGTGTTCGTCAGACCTCTAACCATTGACCAACCTCGTGTGAGACTCTGTGAGTGTCGCGGACACTCTCCAGTATAGCTCAATGGATCGCTGAGGTGCGCAAACCGTCACACCACGGTAAAGTCCAGTCTCTTCCTGACGGTCTTCTGGGACGGGGTTCGCGTGATTCGCGGTCCGGTTAGTTGAGGACACTGTAAGATACGGCTGCCAATCGATGTTCGTGTCAGTTTCTACCGAGTCTCTGGAGGTGTAGCCACCTCTAAATGATCATTGTAAGTAAAGATGTGGTCGATGCGTCATTAGCCAGGGTGAAACCCAGTTTGACTCACAAGAACGTCTCTCCCGACAATCGATCAAGCAGCGCAAAATAATGCCAGAGAAACCTTCGAAGCCACGACATCCAGGCTACCGGATGCCACAATGGTTTTTCTATGATGTTCTTGCACCCTTTTTTAAGACCAGGATAACGGTCGAGGAACTCCATTCGACTGGTATCGTCTTCGTTCAAATCTGCAGTATAGTCGCCAGACTGTTCACCAGGACCTCCGGATCCTCTATGAAGAGTGCGGCGTGCGGGCTATCCGGACCAGATGCTTTGTTGAGTTGAAGCAGTGATATCGCACAATAGATTATTTAACGGTAAGTTGGTATCGATGTTCCATTCAGGCCCACTGAGTTCTTCCAGCGGTTGTGTTGAATGAGGACATCTGAAGTGTTTTCGAAGTATCAAACCCATCGTTCAAGGCTACTAATTTGTGGATGAATTGCTGTCCTATCTCTCGCGTATAGATTCGCTGACACTCGTCTCTTTTCGGCCGGTTGATCAAATCAGCTGAAATAGGTTGCGGCTCTTGCCACAGCGAAAACCCTCTCCATTTCCTTGGACTTCGTAATTCAACAGTGCTCTGTGTTATCCTAAGATCTCTTGATTACCCAGTGTTTTAGGGATCTGCGTGCGCCACCACAGTCGATAGTTGATGGTATGGTCTTCTGGGCAGCAATAACACACGCTGATCTCGACGATATCCACTGTTGATTCAACATCCAAGAAGTCTTCATCATCCGCATGACTGCATTTTCAGTGGCTTTTTCACCAGATCGACCCGATACTTTTGAGCTACTGAAACTTATCGGAGTTGATCAATGACGGAAAGCGAAGTGTGATGACTCAGTGGTTAGAGGGCGAATTTACTGACTGGAAGGTCCGTGGTTCGAACGCGACCTCAGTCTCTCAACTCCCCCTGCCTAGGCTTGGGCAACCTGCCGGTATCCTAGCCCTCTGCTTCCTATCGGTGACATGGCAATCAGGTACCGAAATTGTGCTGCAGCCGAACGGTTTGTTGGTGGCCTTCAAGTAACTCTGTGTGAGCGTTTGTGTTGTAAGTTCGTAGTGGCCAGGAACAGGGGATGCTCAGTACACAACTGCAACAGTCACATCCCATTATCCGTACGCTGAGAAGCGACTCGAAATCTACGAGAGAGTTGTGCTTCTTCTCTCTTGGGCATTCATATCACCCGCCAGGATTACTACATTCGGCCCTCTTGCTGACCGAATGGGTCGTGACAGATCTTGATAAAACCCACTCTTGGTCCCATAACTACAGTCATCATCATCATTATCATCATCGATGGCACAATATGTGTTCACTGTCGTACAGTCATGATTTATTTGAAAGCCTTATTGTGAAGAAAAGAAGGAAAGTGGAGGGGGAAGGGCCTTAGCGCTAGTTTACCACAACCATTCCGAGGTGACTAAACCTCCAGACACTCATTCAGGTAACCTGGACGGGAAATGACAACAAGATCGCCACTGACATCGGTTGGGAGCCATATCTTGAAGAGTCTTCAACCAGGCGCAGTGTTTGTATGACTATCCTTTGTGTTCACATCGTCGTTTCATATCAGCCACTCTTTCGTCTTCAGCATATATACGTCTATTCTTAGACAAGTAAAGCGCTATTCATTCTACGCTATTCGCTCTTGTTCTCGCGCCCAATCAGGATCGATATTCTATTCATAACCATTTACTTGTCTAAGCATACAATGGAACCGTTGCTGCGATCCAAGTGTTTCGACACATATCCAAATTCTCAAGACGCCACAACGCGTTGAAATCATTGGTTCCAAACCTTTCAAACGTTTTTGGACACTTTCGAATCGTCTAATCTAGATAAACTCGAAACCTTGATCCATTTTGTGGATGCACCTGTATACTTTACATCGCTTACTGCCCAGATCATGAATCCGCTATCAGTACACTTGAAAAGTTGTACGTTCGTCCTAAGAATACAATTTATGCTCGTTATCTACAAACTTGCAGACAAGACACCAGTCAAGATGTTGATCAGTTTATGTTCTCGTCAATCAATTCTAAGGTGTTATTTTTGCGGTCGTTCCAGGCATCCAGGTTCCAAGATGCCCCGCAAGAGCAGTTTGTAAATCATGTGGCAAAATAGACAATTTTTAGCGTGTCTGTCGATCCAAATATGTATAAAAAAAATCACTCCAATTGCACGATGAATTCTGCCTTATCTTCCCCGTTGGCTGCTTCAGCCCCGAACTGCTTGTCTCGCACGGTGACCAGCATAAAGCTGAACGGGATATCGCATCAGGCTCTCATAGACACAGGAAGTTCGAGCAGTTCGTACACATGGTTGGAAGACACGCTAACGATTCTGTGACTACATGGCATCTACCTTTCTGATGTGTTAAACTAGCGGCGACTGCTACGCATCCATCGATTACAGGGGTTCTGTCCATAAAATAATCAAACAATTGGTGCTACCCAATTTATGTGCTGACATGCTGCTAGGCCATGATTTCCTTGGCCTACATTAGAAAAGCGAAATCACATTCTGTGGGAACCGGAGTCCATTCTGCGGTCCACCTGATGCTACGGTCGAATCACTTCTTTTTGTTAACCTCTCACCCGACTGCAAGCCTATCGCTACGAAATCGCAAGCTATAATCCCGAAGATGAACAGTTCAGCAGCCCTGAAGTTAACGGACTATTAGAAGAAGGTATAATTGAACCTTCGAATTCTCCCTGGAGGGCTCAAGTACTGGTCATGGAAAATTTAAACCACAAGACGCA